GGATCATGACCTGAACCAAAATCAAGAGCCGAATGCTCAGCTATCTGAGCCACCCAGGCACTGCCCCCATTTAAATTTCGATCTGACCCTAAAGTCAATATACTTTTACAACACCTATTAGAGAGACTGTTTCTAGCTTGGAATGTCAGAAGATCATACAAATGTTCAAATAATAAAGAGATAATTCCCAAAAGAAGAATGAAATCAAAATTGCTAAATTCATAAAGTAGTTTCAGGAGGCACAATGATATCTAATGAATAAGAGGGACATTTCCCATCCTGAATCTATTTTGATCAATGAGAAAAACTTCCAGAACCCACCAAACACATTTCCTCCCCTAAGACTAGAGTCACATTTGCAAGCCTCAACCAGACACTGGCAAAGGGATTGATACCCCTTGTTTAGCCTATATTGATTATGCTTCACGCTGGGAGGAGGAAGGGTCCACTATGCTGGGCATGTAAGAGGATAATCATCTGAGAAAATTAGGGGCTCTGACCCCAAGAAGGAAAGAGAAATGATGCCTCTTGAGCAACCAATCAATAGGGTCCACTCTTCTGTCTTGTTCTGCCTTATATGTGTCATGATCGCATGAGCCCTAATACTGTAGCTTATTATATATTTAATACATTTTTGGCTTATTTTATATAGTAGTATTTACTGGCTTATATCTCCCCAAGTTAAACAGTAACAACAAAGTAGCAACCAAGCCCCCCACACTCCTTTCTCCTCCTGTCAGTTGCAAGCCATTTGTCCCTTCTGAGTCTGGTAGCTACTGAGACTTGTAAGTGACCAAGGGTGGATGGATTCCTGGCTCTATTTAGGTCTCTCTCATGTGGGTTGTTCAGTTGACTAAAGAACACCATCGAAGCCCAGAGGAGTGGGCGAAGTGAGTGGAGGATCTTAGAAGGAACTCAGTGTTTGGGAATATGTGGACTCTATCACCAAAGGAGGTTTATAATCACTTCTTTTAGGTGACCCTGGTCAACTTGACCCCCTAAGGACCAGAACAGGAGTATGGCTGATTCTCTCCTGATCCTGCACTGATGAGAATGCAAGGGAACCAGAAAACACACCGGCCACGTTGGATGTCTCTGCAAGAGGCTGATAACCTGCCATTAAAGACATGACGAGATAAAAAAGAAAGAGAAAAAGAGAACCCTTGGGCCTTTTATCTTGTGAGGAAGAATCCCTGCCCTAAATAAATTTCAGCCACCAGAACTGAGATCCAGGGAGCTGCTTGAGAGAGTAACTACCCATTTAAGGGGCCACAGCAGCCAGAGAGAATATATGCCCAGGGACGTGCGAACAAATTAACAACTGAATCTTAAAAAATAAAGAAAAACAGGAAGGAAGAAAGAAGGAGGAAAAGAAGGAACCATTGAAACAGATACAAATGCAATTTACACACACACACACACACAATCCCTGATTTGAGAACTAGAAAATTAAAAAATATTAAAGGGAGGAATAGTTACTATTGAGAATAGGTGATTGAAGTACAAGAAATATCTCAAAGTGCAGGGAAAAAAAGAGACAAAGGGAAATCACACGGAAAAGAGAAATTGTGAGAATACCTTAATTTTTGTTTTAATGTTTACTTATTTTTGAGAGAGGTAGAGAGAGAGTCTGAGCTGGGGAGGGGCAGAGAGAGAAGGAGACACAGAATCTGAAGCAGGCTCCAGGTTCTGAGCTGTCAGCACAGGGCCTTACGTGGGACTCGAACTCATGAGCTGCGAGATCATGACCTGAGCTGCAGTCAGCCGTGACTGAGCCACCCAGGCACCCCACGTGAGACGACCTTAAAAAAAAAAACAAAAAATGAAGATGATTTGGAAGGAGGAAAAGGGAGTGGATGGGAGGGAGGTAATTACTATACAACTTTAAGAAATGAATTTTCCTAAACTGAGAAAGATTTGAGTCTAGAAATTGAAAGGGCTGACTGAGTTCCGGGATGATTTACCAAGAAGAAATACACAACCAGGTAAATCCTTGCAACATGTGTGAACTTCAAGGATAACGAAAAACAGTGTGTCCTTCCAACTTAAGAGACCAGTTTACCAGAAAAGGAAAAACACTCAATAATAAGGCCCAGGCCTTCTTATTTGACCTTGGAAGCTAATAGACAGTAGTTTACTTAGTACTCCCAAGGAAAGAAAAAATAGCATGCAAAGAATCCTATACTCCATTTTCCTGTAAATGTAAAAAAGTCTGTTTTCCATGCACGTATGCTATCCAAGGAAAATACTTGAGAACAGACCGCAAGCGCCAAAAGCGAGAACACAGAATACAGGAAGAGGAAGTAGTGGTGAGCAATGAAACTTAAAATATGTGAGTTCAGTAAATGAAGACATGAGGACTTCTAAGCCATAATGGAGTTAACGCAAAAATAGTTTCAGTCATCACGAATTTATTCTGGCAAAACCTAGGGCTTGGGAATGGGTGTGAGTGAAAGATTCTCTCACGGTCTCGCTGGGGGTGGGGGGAAAGAATGAGAGAAGAGGAAGAGAAGGAAATGGAGTCTAAGGGTCTTGTCCTACGAGGGTTAATCAAAGGAAGTGAAAAAATTAAAGGATTGTGAGGGGAAGGAAAGAACAGGTTTGGAACAAGTAGCAGTAGAGTCACAGGGTCAGAAACATGAGTTGTAAGATAGAGCACAGGCGCTGGTGAGGGCCTGTGGAAGAACCGTATTCTGCTCTCTCTAGGAGTTGAAATTCCAATGATGTCCGTTAAAATTTCATATAGCCCCCAGTGAGACCTGGGTGACCTAAAAAGCTGCTGTTTGGCTCCCATGTACATAGCCTGGTTATAGTAAGTCTCAAGGACAAGTGCAACAAGGTGATCGAGTGGCAAGGCGGCAGAGACTGGGGAAGGGGTCCCAGCAAATGGGCCCTGGGACAATGTGGAGAGTTCCTGAGAATGCTGTGTGTGAGCATAGTGGAGGACAGCACAGGGTGACGGGACGTGTTTCTGCTTCAGCAAAGGCTGTGACAAAGACAGAAAATGACTTCTAAAAGTCTAGTAGGACTCCTGTACCAGATAGACCCGCTACTCACTGATATTTGGTTCTCTTCCCCTTCAGGCCACTGGGAAATATTACATTTTGAAGTTAAACATGGCAATTGGCCATTGAAATGTGACAATTGGTGATGCGTGTCCCTGTAGAGGAAGCATTTATTGCTAGTGTGTGTGAATGTCTCTCTCTTCCCTGCCTTGGCAACTGTGAAAACATGTTTAAATGTCACCATCGTAAGACGATGGAGCCTCCGTCAACCTGGGTCATTAAGGGGCAAAGTTAGTGGTAAGACACTTGGGCAAAGCCATCTGTGGACCCACTGTGATCCCATAACATGAGAAAGCAAGTTCTGTTGCTTTAAGCACTGCGATTTTGGGCCCGTGGTACCATCTCACCTGTTTTGATCAACTCAAGCAGCCATCGAAGAGGGCAGCCATAGGGTGGCTCTCAGACAAGACTGTCATCTCCTGATACCGGGATAAAAGAAAAGTCCTGCTGAATGAGATCGTTTCGATGAACAAGGGAAGAAAAAGAAAAGAGAAGACTCTGAAAGCAGACACATTTTAAAAGACTAAAGACAGAGGGTTAAGCTGGTGGCAACTGTGTTCATGCATTAGCAAGATTCAATTTCTCAGAATCAGCAGAAATAAAGACAAAGTTCATTCAATTAGGGGAAAATAAAGGTCATATTCATATACACTATTTTAGGGATTAATGTGGCCATTAAAAGTTATAAGGTACAGAAAATCATAATTTTAATGATACAATCAATTTAATTCAAGAATATCTGCTGGTGAATAAGCCCAGTGAACTCTTTTTTTTTTTTTTTAAACGTTTATTTATTTTTGGGACAGAGAGAGACAGAGCATGAACGGGGGAGGGGCAGAGAGAGAGGGAGACACAGAATCAGAAACAGGCTCCAGGCTCTGAGCCATCAGCCCAGACCCTGAAGCGGGGCTCGAACTCACGGACCGCGAGATCGTGACCTGGCTGAAGTC